TCCATCTAACCATTCTTTCTACGGTTTTTACAATGGAAACGCGGAATACGAGCGGCAATTTTTTGGAAATGCTTATGACTCCTACCCTGGATCCGGCTACCGGCACCAATTCAATAGCGAAGAGACTGCGGCAAGACAATCTCCGTCCCTTGCAAACATCGAAGCAAGTCAGTCTCCTTCGCTCGCTTCGATTACAAGTGTGGAAAGCAGTAACAGTGGTGGAAACAACAACACAAATGAAAGCAAAGGAAAAAAAAAAGTAAAGTACGAGACGTGTCAATCAGCAAAGTTTTGGCTCAAACATGTTGGTCCAATGCGACCACCGCCAAAATTTGGCCCTTACGAAATTTTTGCCAATTTTTTCCTCGCCAAAAATTGGAAGTAAACAAAATTGGCTCTAGTGCGACCCGGCCCATACTTAGCAACTTTTTTCTTTGATCACGATCACGGCGATGTAACACTCAAGCCTCGTTCCCAGGTTCCATCGAGTGACGATTAAAAAACTGCGCAAACTTCGCGCGAACCATTGTAAACGAAAAAAATGGCAAGAGCGAAGCGAAATCATTTGCCAACTGAAACGTTCTAGGGCGCTCTAGAAAGCATTCTGTAAAGTAGGACAACTGGAAAGTATTTCCAGATCGGGAGCACGGAGATTACCGCATATCGTAACCCTCTGATAAAGACGCAATGTTATGGGTTAGGGCTAGGTAGTTCAATGTCCGACAAACATTGATGTATGTTTAAACATCACACATAATGTAGAAAGTTTCTTTGACTTTCGTCTCACTTTTCTCTCCCCTCTCCGTGTTGTTTTGTTTTCACGGATGGCGCGCGTGATTTTTTGCGAACTAGCCAATCGCGTCGGGGACTTTGGCCTTAGCCTTGACATTGAAAAGAGTCTGGCGTGTACATTTTGCTCGCGTATCATAGTTGTTTTTATTATTTTCAGTGCGGAGTTTAGTTTGGGTTGTTGTTGTTGCTGTTGTTATTTTCCTTTCGTTGACGCTTATTCTAATCCCTCAGTTTGGAATTTTTACAATTTTAAGGGTTTATTCAACGACTAATGTGAATTTTAATTACATAATTTCTACGGAATTAGGATCCTAGTTTCTTTTTTTCACTTTTGGATTTTTTACGCGGTGCCGAGACCCAGGAATTTGACTCAGAGAAGAATCTACTCTCTATGGAAAAATGGTTGATGAAGAACTGAAAAAGAAGAGAAAGATCCGTAGAGGACATAAAGGATACGTTACGACGACTCTGGAAAAGGTAAAAGCCTTACTGGATGAATTTGAACCCCTCTGGCGGAACAATGGAAAACTTAACGGATTGCTCTCACTGAAAAACTCAATGTCCTTGGAGCCTAGACGACGAAATTCTGGCTTTAATGGTAGAAGAGTACATCGAAGATCAAATCCAGGAAACTGGAAACATCAGAGAATCTATTCATCAGATGATAGTGGAAATTGACGAAACTGTAAACGCAGTTGAATTGGAAAGGGCCGGAAATACAGATAAGTCAATTCCTCTCTCTAATTCTAATTCGTTCACTGAAAGTC